ATCCAAGCTTCAATTGTTTAAACTCCATTTAAACCATCAGGCTCCACAGAATGAAAGCAATCCAGCTTATTAGTAATAAAATATTCCAAGATGAGAAAAGTTAGCTGGTCCTACCTAATGCTCAGCGTTTCATTCTTTCATCATCAGTCCTGCTCTCACTGCATGAGTTAGTATCATGGGCTTTTTTTCTCTGTTGTAAAGCTTTAATAAATGAAGCAATGAAGCTGATTCAAAGCATCATTTATTTTTTATTAAATATTTTCATAAAACAACAAACCCTAGCTAGCTGCAGTGTTTAGTTTTGCCGTATAGTGTTATGGTCCGGCCTCCAGAACCGCCATGGATAACCGTCTCTGACCGAAGGAGGAATCCGTTTATCTCACTGAATTATTTTATATTAACTAAATAATAGTGATGTTTTTAATTTAGTAGAAACTATGGAATGAGAAACAGTTTGTTTTGTATTTAAAGGTGAAGCAGCTGAGATGGAGCAGCGCTAGTGATGCTAGTGATGCTAGTGATGCTAGTGATGAACTGCTGATAACGCTGCTTTTCGTGGCTGTTTTAATGAACTCGTGTATAAAGATTGGTCTGAATGTTTAATTGAATGAAATATTTTTTTTTATTTATTGATCAGATCTTTTCTCATTTGTAATGAAACATTTATTAATTAACATGAAATAGCTGCAAATAATCAAATCTCTCTTTAAATGATCAACCGTTACCCACTAACTGCCATATTTAGTTTTTATTTTAACGCCTGTCTGTCTCTCTGTATCCATGCCAGGTTGAAGGCTTTCTGATCCCATTGGCTGAGAGGCCCAGCAGCCGTCCAATCAGGAGACAGAGGGCCGCCGTCTCTCCGTGCTCACGCCGTGCTCCGCCCGCCGCGTCATGTCCATCCCCAGCAGCAGCCCAGAGAGGGAGAGCTCCTCTGGGGTTCAGCTCGACTGTCCCTCCTCTCCCCCCGGCATGGAGGCAGACCCCCCATCAACAGGCAGCCCAGTGCTCACCCCTGACTCTTCCTCCCATGATGCATTGCTCTCTGCAGCGGCAGCCTCTCCTGCAGACTCTGAGAATCTGAGCCCAGATGAGCTGGAGCTACTGGCCAAACTGGAGGAACAGAACAGGTAACACTGGTGCAGAGCTGCTTCACCAGCAGCTCCAGCGTCATAGAGAAGCTGCTTCACCAGCTGACTGTAGAGAAGCTGCTTCACCCGCTGATTATAGAGAAGCTGCTTCACCCGCTGATTATAG